GTACTCGGATCACTACAATCATCAGGCCAAATCCCAGGTTGGAAATTAAAAGGCAGAAGTTACCAGAGGGAGTGATTTATTGTGTACAGAACTCTCTATTGCTATCCCAGGCGGCAGTGGCCACTGGCGAAGCGAGGGTTAGTGTTGACTGCGTCCAGCCAGACCTGAGAGAGAATGAGGCAGTGGTGGCAGCTGCTTTAGTCGGATTGCGGAGCATGCTCAAGTGTTTTCCAATTGGTGCGTGGGACATTACCCTGTCGGCCAAGGATGGGGGAAAGGAACATGCTCAAGTGGCGCTTGGGTAGCCGCGACTACTTGGACGCACGTGTGTGTTTTCAAGAGGAAATCGGCCAATTTTCAGCAGGTCAGCGCGTCTGAAAGCGCTGACTGGGGTGTTGGATGACCTTGAGGCAGCTGATCTTGAACAAAGACGCCGGACAAAGCAATGTTGGGCGTCGGCTACAGCATATCCTAACCGTGTAACGGAAGTGGCTGCGTTCGACTACGAATGGCTAGTTATCCTGTGTGCGTCTTCGTAGGCTGCACACCGTCGACTATAAAACAAAAGGGAAGCGCCCATTTCGGTCCTGCAATTGGGATGGATTGCTGCACACCATTCGCATTTGATCAAATAATTTCGATCGCAACCGACACTGCGTGAAGCCGCTAGTGGGAGCATTACCTGGGGTGAAACAGACTCGGGCTAGAATCCCGGTCGGGTAACCATCCAACGGGTTCTGGCAGTAAGTGCAAATTCTAGGACGACGCTGGCCTCCTGCTAGGTGCTCTTTGAAATTCTTTTTCAGTGCTATTTACCCAAAACAGCAAAACGCCCCAACGATTAGTGGAAATCAACCAGTTGAACCTAATGTCACATCGTCAGTTGTATGGAAAGATACAAAAAGTGACACGGTTCTTTGAAAAGGTGAAGGAATATGTGACTGCAGCACATCAAAAAGGCATAAAAGCAGGGACAGGTTCCCCTCCGCCTGGGGCGGACTCTTACACCGAGAGATTGTAGTTTGGTGACTTGGTCCAGAATGAGCGCCTTTAGGGGGGAAACGATAATCGTGAGACCCGACTGCACAACGGCCGGAAGTTGGTAGCACAGACTCTTACCACCTCCTGCAAAAAAAGACAAAAGACGGAAGTAGTAAGCTTTCACTTTAGCAATAATCGAGATGAAAAGGAACCTAACCTTCGGACTGATTTGAGTTTACGACAAAACTGTCTTTAAGGGGCTGCCTAAATATCTATTCCCCCCGTCCAAATGTCTCACAGAATTGGTGGTTGAACATTTAGTTCTTGGTGAACGGGTGTAAATGAATAAGTAATTGTGTCGAAAGTGACCAAAGAATATCAAATTAAGGCCAATCACAGTCGTTTTAATGAGCTAAATAAAATCAACTCCATCAACATAAACCTCTGTTGCTCAGGCAACTGATGCCTGTTAATGGAAATATGACTTTATATTGGCGGAATTTGACGAAAAAAGGAAAGTCGGGCTACTGCAAAATGTAAAAAGTAGGTTATTATAAGTCAAAGGCAAGTACGACCTCTAAAGACAGCCCTACCGAGTTTTTACTTATTTGGATGGAAAACCAGTTACTCTTTGGGCCCAACACACGGTTGCTTATGCCTCCAGCATACTTCTTGAGACCTTAAGTCAAAATCGTTACTGACTGAAAATGAAGCGCTACGTCAACTACTATATGCAGTACTACTACTACAGTAGTCGCCGGTTATTAAGGCCACCTCGGGACCAGACCAAATTGGGCTTAATAAGCGGCTGGGCCTATTAACCGTGGGCTTAATAACCGACGACTACTGTACTACCACAGTGACCGAGCTTGTGAACTGTTAACCAAAATTCCAAAATGTGCTTTCGATTAAGAAGGCATACCTAAGTGGTGTGGTGACATTGATCATCTTACGACATAATCCCATAATACTTCAGACAAACTAAGACACTCGCTTTCGAATGCGAATCTACTTGGCTGCTGGTAAAAAATCCATTCTATTTACGAATTTTTTTCTATTGATTTTAAATACCCTCATAAATGCAAATATATATCTTATGTAAATCATGCGTAGAAATATGCTTTCTTTTACTCGTTTGGTGCTGTGAGCTTCTACAAGGAATTTTTTGAAGAGAAACAGACCTTATTAGCC